TATATATATACGCACACTGCTCAAAAAAATAAAGGGAACACTTAAACAACACAATGTAACTCCAAGTCAATCACACTTCTGTGAAATCAAACTGTCCACTTAGGTAGCAACACTGATTGACAATCAATTTCACATGCTGTTGTGAAAATGGAATAGACAACAGGTGGGCAGCATAGGCAGTTAGCAAGACATCCCCAATAAAGGAGTGGTTCTGCAGGTGGTGACCACAGACCACTTCTCAGTTCCTATGCTTTCTGGCTGATGGTTTGGTCACTTTTGAATGCTGACGGTGCTTTCACTCTAGTGGTAGCATGAGACGGAGTCTACAATCCACACAAGTGGCTCAGGTAGTGCAGGTCATCCAGGATGGCACATCAATGTGAGCTGTGGCAAGAAGGTTTGCTGTGTCTGTCAGTGTAGTGTCCAGAGCACTGAAGCACTACCAGAAGACAGGCCAGTACATCAGGAGACGTGGAGGAGGCCGTAGGAGGGCAACAACCCAGCATCAGGACCGCTACCTCCACCTTTGTGCAAGGAGGGACAGGAGGATCACTACCAGAGCCCTGCAAAATGACCTCCAGCGGGCCACAAATGTGCATGTGGCTGCTCAAATGGTCAGAAACAGACTCCATGAGGGTGGTATGAGGGCCCGATGTACACAGGTGGGGGTTGTGCTTACAGCCCAACATCGTGCAGGATGTTTGGTATTTGCCAGAGAACACCAAGATTGGCAAATTCACCACTGGCGCCCTGTGCTCTTCACAGATGAAAGCAGGCTCACACTGAGCACATGTGACAGATGTGACAGGGTCTGGAGACGCTGTGGAGAACATTCTGCTGCCTGCAACATCCTCCAGCATGAGCGGTTTGGCAGTGGGTCAGTAATGGTGTGGGGTGGCATTTCTTTAGGGGGCCTCACAGCCCTCCATATGCTCACCAGAGGTAGCCTGACTGCCATTAGGTACCAAGATGAGATCCTCAGACCCCTTGTGAGACCATATGCTGGTGCAGTTGGCCTTGGGTTCCTCCTAATGCACGACAATGCTAGACCTCATGTGGCTGGAAGGTGTCAGCAGTTCCTGAAAGGTGAAGGCATTGATGCTATGGACTGGCCCACCCATTCCCCAGACCTGAATCCAATTGAGCACATCTGGGACATCATGTCTCGCTCCATCCACCAATGCCACATTGCACTACAGACTGTCCAGGAGTTGGGGGATGCTTCAGTCCAGGTGTGGGAGGAGATCCCTCAGGAAACCATCCGCCACCTCATCAGGAGCATGCCCAGGCTTTGTAGGGAGGTCATACAGGCACGTGGAGGCCACACACATGACTGAGCCTCATTTTGACTTGTTTTAAGGACATTACATCAAAGTTGGATCAGCCTGTAGTGTTTTTTTCCACTTTAATTTTGAGTGTAACTCCAAATCCAGACCTCCATGGGTTGCTAAATTTGATTTCCATTGATAATTTTTGTGTGATTTTGTTGTCAGCACATTCAACTATGTAATGAATGAAGTATTTAATAAGAATATTTCATTCATTCAGATCTAGGATGTCTTATTTTTGTGTTCCCTTTTTTTGCGCAGTGTGTATATCTATCTATCTATTTATATCTATCTATCTATCTATCTATCTATCTATCTATCTATCTATCTATCTATCTATCTATCTATCTATCTATATGAATGAGAGGGGGGAGGGATAGAGGGATGGAGAGAGAAAGAGAGAGAGAAAGAGAGAGAAAGAGAGAGAGAATGAATATATATCAGTGTTCTAATTAGCATGCTAGTTTACTGTGAACTGAATGATACATCTATTAAGTGGATCCACAGCTGGTTTGCAAAGGATACTTTAAAATTTTTGTCATATCCTCATCAAATTAGAGGGAGGTTTTAAATGAGATGGCAAAAAGTGCAGTCCTGGATCAGATACTTTCTACCAGTTTTATTAATGACTTAAATGACAAGGTGGTGAAAATGCTTATTAAATCTGGCTATGACACATAATTGGATAGGATAATTAAAATCGTTGAAGAGATATGAAGTTCAAATTGATCTTGATAGAACTGCAAAAAATGGATTTAAAAAATAGACCAAAAAAGGGAAGTTTTTCTTCTTTTTTAATCTAGGAAAATGAAATCAATGCACAGCAATAAGATCAAGGATATATGGCCTGGCAACAGTCCATGTCCAAACAACCTTGAGATTGTAGTTCATCATAACCTGAATGTGAGTCAGCAGTGTAAAGTATCTGCAAAATAAATAAATACGTGCATACGTTCCAGGCTGAATCAATAGAAGTACAATATATTAATCATGATAATCATTCCATTTTATTTTGAATTAGTCACACTTCACCTCACCTACGCAGTCCAGTGTTGAATATTACACTTTAAGAACATTCAGACAAATTAAAATGGGACCAAAGAAAGGCAAAGAAAATAATTGGGGACTTAGAAACTCAACCCTTGGAGGAAATTAAAGAAATGAAAATATTGAAAAAACTAAGGGGATTCATGATAGCAGTCCTAAATGAAAAGAGTAGGCTACACTCGGTTTTCTATAATTCCATTAAAATGATTAAGGACAGATTCCATCAGGACCACATGTGAGTTTTTAATATTTTTACATTAACGTGACCCAAAATGTGTCATGTTCTCTACACAACACCTAAAACTAGATAGAGGACCCAATTAAGCATATCAATCAAAAATTATACTTCTTTATTTTTATTTACTGCAAATAGTTTTACGATATTATCCAGCCTAGTCAGCATCAACAACTGATTTTTAGAGATCCTTAGAAACCTCATTTGTTCATACTGTGACACTTATTTTCATATATAAATTGAAGAAATGAACAAATATAATGCTTCTATTATGAAATTCAGACTTTGATAGTAACTATTTAGAATTCTGTTCTTTAAATAAGGCAGGACCTCCCACATTTACACTTCATTATCATCTCATTGATTGACTCTAATTTCCTGTTCCAATCAACTCTTAATCCTGGAAATTCCAATGAAGTGTTAATCTTATAAATTCACATAATTTTGTCATAAATAAATAGCTTTGGATCATTTTTCTCAATGAAAGGAAGAACAAGATGGTATTATCTCCATATAAAAGTATATGTGCATTCATGTTCCCAACTAATATATATCCTCTAACATAATCTCTAGCATTTCTTACACATCTATTCATCTATAATGTGATTCCAAACATACATTTATTGACACTGGGCTACGAAAATGAGTTTCACTTTTCAGTTAAAAAATATAACATTGTGTTTTGTGTGTGTGTGTGTGTGTGTGTGTGTGTTGTGAACGTAATTCTAAATAGTTGGGTATTTTTTTAAAAAAAAGCTAAAAAATGAAAATTTCCAATTATATGTCTCAGAAATATTAGACTTATTATTTTAAAAGACTGGTTCTTAATTTATTATTGATATTAGTATATATGCCACAGTATAGTATAATTGTTGTCAGATAACTAGTGGAAGACAGGAAGTGCATGCTAGAATTTACTTCTGAATGGGCTTAGAGGTGGAGAAGCGAACAGTTTTTGTTTAATAAGGAGAGCAAGGCAAGATAAATGGCAGCAAGTCATAATAATTGATTATATTTTCGTTTTAATTTATAGGTGAAATTGGGTGGAGAAGCTCCTAATTCCAATGTTATCCACATACCTAATGGTACTGCTGAAAGCAGCAGCAACTGCAGATGGAAAAGCTCCATGGGAAAATATGGAAGTGAATGCCATCTCTTAGACTTTGCCAAATCAGAGCGCCCACTTGTAATCAACTTTGGGTCAGCTACCTGACCTCCCTTCACAAACCAGCTGTCTGCCTTTGGCAAGTTGGTGGAAGAGTTCTCTAGTGTGGCTGACTTTCTGTTAGTCTACATTGATGAGGCTCACCCATCAGATGGCTGGGCTGCTCCTGGTATCTCATCTTCATTTGAAGTCAAGAAACATAGGAACCAAGAAGACAGATGTGCTGCTGCTCACCAGCTTCTAAAGAAATTTTCTTTGCCACCACAGTGCCAGATAGTGGCTGATTGCATGGACAATAATGCCAATGTGGCTTATGGAGTCTCCTTTGAGCGTGTATGCATTATACAAAGACAAAAAATTGCTTACCTGGGGGGGAAAGGCCCCTTTTTCTACAATCTTCAAGAGGTTCGACTTTGGCTGGAGCAAAACTTCAGGAAAAGATGAAATCCAAATTTACCAGATAAGAAGTCAAGAGGACTGTCCTTTTAAAATAATGCAAAAAGAAAACAAGTTGCATTTTGTTTTGAATAGGATTTTTCTGCCTTTGGGGACAAAACAGGCCTAGTAAAAAGTTTAAATGCACAAAGTGGTTACAAACAACAATGAATTCCCAGTAGCTTTCTGAAAAAGGAGCTGAGATTCCCTCCCCTTTCATAGAATAAGTCTTCTGAGATTTTTGTGCCATGAGATAGTGGAAGCACACCAAACCATTATTTCAAGGTTTATGAAAAATGATATATCACATCCTGAGCTTTAAAAAATCATGTCGTCCTTCAGAAATTGTCCTGTTACATTCCATCATAGCATGTTCAGAACCTAAAGCTTGCCAGTTATCATGAAATAATTATTTTAGTTTGTTGTAGTGAGGTACCATTTCGTAGATATTCCAGATTCCAGCATCCATAAATTGGACAGTTAATTGCCTTCTTAATTGCTGAAAATAAGAACCGCTATTCACTTTGCTATAATACTTTTTTGTTTTTGCAATGTAGTACAGCTTGGAAATCTTTTACTTTGATTCTAACTCTTTCAGTGCTTCAAAGACAAAGAATTCTGTAAGAGCAGGTTATACGCTAACACTGCATTGCATGATTTAGCTGAAATATCTCCTAGCAACAGTCATCATGGAAATTACTTGGGCTGTTCTGAATCTTAGTTTATATCCCCCAAAGTGAATTTCTTAATAATTTTGAAGTAGTGAAGACTATTGTGTTTTGAGCCAATTCAGAGAATCTAGCTCAAATGGATTTCCACCATGTCTATAAAAGAAATAATTTATGTTGAAAAACTTGTCTCAATCAACTGACAGTTTATTTTGTCTGCCCCAAACCCAATTCTCAGAATTTTGTTGTGAAAGATCAGTATTAGACTCATTATGTTTGAGCCTGGATATATCCAGGACAGTTATGCAATCAGGTGTGCAATTGATTTCTCATATCCAATTCCTATAACTGGTTTGTGAAAAGCATGCTTCGGTAAATATCTCTTATTGCAAAAAGAAAAGAAAAGAAAAGAAAAGAAAGAAAGAAAGAAAGAAAGAAAGAAAGAAAGAAAGAAAGAAAGAAAGAAAGAAAGAAAGAAAGAAAGAAAGAAAGAAAGAAAGAAAGAAAAAGAAAGCTTGTGCTGCCTGCCAGCATAAACTAATTTTTGAAAGTAAGCTCTTCAGGTAAAAAATTAACACTTGAAGTATTTTCTTTCAACTTAAACTTTAAAGCGCATCTCATGGCAACCTCACTTCCCATTATCACATTATTTGGGGGGAAAACCTGCAAGGATTTCAGGGGGTGCATACTACCTGCAAATCTTCATCCTTTGCTGATCCCTCATGAAGCTTTAAACTGGTGGATTATTACACGTGAAAAAGTGGTTGGGATCTTGGAAGTGGCATGGGTTGGTATTTTGTATTGGATCACAGAAGGAACAATCATGAGGACATTACCTTGCATTCTTTCTGCACTGAGGTAATGTCGGAGCAATGTAATGAAAAGTTATCTCTGTGTTAGAAAAAAATATTGTGTGCATCACAATCTTTTGGGAAGATTGATGAGAGAATGCCCGGAATCATATCCAATTATAGAAACAAACTTCTTTTATGTTAAGCCTGGATGCATGGATGGAAACTATCAGGTTTATTTGCCTTTTTTTTTTTTACAAATTCAACAACAGTGCAATTAATATTAGCTGTTAGTGTATAATTTTTTCTAAAAAAATAATTTATTGCATTTGAAAATGGTGAAAGTGGTGTATCTTTTTACTTTATTGGGATTGAGAATTTATTCATAAATTAATGTGGGTTGGTTTGATGCAATTCTTGTTGATGCATTGTTTGCCCTTCTACCCAATAACCTGAAATTAGGTTTTAACCACATAGATTTAATGTGAAACAGATTTCAGCTTTAGGACTGATGAACTGCAGAACAGTAGAAAGCCAAATCCTTTGTTTACCTTCCATTTAAAAAAATAATAATTTCCCCTTAAATACTAATTAAATACTAATTTTGGCCTAATGGCTACTATCTCTCTTCATCTGCCTGTCTCTTTACCCAACCCATTAAATGGGTGACAAAAATGGAAGGAGTTTTAATGAAATAGTTGGGATGTTCGAATTTGGAAGAAGAAGACAAAGTAGAATGGTTTTGAAAGAAAGGCTGGGTAGTATTTTCCTGAAAAAATGTTCTGTACAAAATGCACTGAAATAAGTACAGTGAGTAGAGTTGCCCTGCTAGCACAATGAAGCCATTTGCCCATTTTTATTCAAAGTACATAAATATTGTGAAAGAAAAGAGAAGGGGTAAAAGTCATTTTCTGAGGACAAAATTCAGAGAAGGGCAAGAAAGCATTACCAACCAATTAAATTCCACAAAGACTTAAAATTCCTTTAATTCATTAGTTCCTTGTGGAACCATTGTTCTGATATTGGTCAAGAATTTTTCTAATACTCAACACATATTTTAGATAATGTTTCTCTCCAATGAAAGGATACAAACTTGACAGTGGAGTTTGAATGCTATTTTTTTCTATGTCCATTTTTTTCTTTGCTTCTCTTTTACAGGTATACAACACTGGGGCACACAATTATAGAGAAAGATGTCAGAGGAGTTGAGAATGAATGTACTAAAAAGCTGACAGATGGAGGGTGAGGAGATGGCATATGTTGTTACAGTTTGAAAAATTTGAGGACTTGTTGAAGGTATAGAGGCAGACAGTTGCAGGAAAGTAGTATTTTAATTTAGGATGGGATCATTGCTAAAATATGAAACAAGCAATCATTAATATAAATTAAATGCTCATCTTTTAAAACAGTAACCTGTTGGCAGGGATGCAAAACATATTTCTTAGCAAATGATTTCAGTGACATTCTTTTAAAAATGATCTTCCAGTGAACAGATTCCTTAATGTTTCTCTTAAATTGTTTTTTTTCTTTAACTTGTCCTTACTTTGCCATTATAACATATAGGTAGTTCTTGATTTATGACTGTAATGGAGCCTGGAATTTCTGCAATATGGCATGTTGATTGTAAGTCAAGGTCACCAGAGGACAGGCCCAATTTTATGTTTTTGTGGCAGTAATTAAGTAAATGTAGTGGATATGAAACAAACCCTGAAGCCATTAAGTGAATGCTACAATTATTAAGTGAATGCCATAGTTGTTAGGAAAACCATTGTCTGCAATGGACAGTTTTTGCCGGAAACCAGTCGTAACTGCTGATTTCTGGCAAAAAAATGTATAAATAACAGTTGTGTGATAGTGAGACAAATGGTCATAATACAGGCGAGTTCCTGAATGCCCCAAATACAATCATGTAACAGCTGGGGTGGGTGGGTGGGCTGTCATAAAAACTTCAAACCTAAATTGCAAGGTCCAGTGTAACTTTTGTTGCTAATTGACTGGTTGTAAGTCAAGGACTACCCATATAATTTATCAATTGAAGACCTTAGTTTTATTTATATTCATTTAATACTTAGGCAGACATATTCTAGGTGGATTACACTTTAGGATTGTTATCTAATCCACTTAATATAACATTCGGCTTCAGGCAGCCTTTTTGACTTAAGATTGAATCCCATTTAAGGCTCAGTCCAGAAGAATTGTTGTGCTGATGAAGAGGTTTTCCCCTACTGTATATCTAAAAAAAATTAACTTTTAAACAAGAATGGCAATTTAGAGTTTGAACTGAGTTTGTTAAGACATTCAGGTGCCATAAGACATCTGGTTGCTTCTGAAATCCCATTCTCTGCATATTGACTATGTTTATTGAACCCAAATTTACGCACATCAAAATGGCAAGTACCTTCTCAGATGAATTGATACAGCAGCCTGAGAAAACTACAATTATTCATTTGATTACATCTAAATGAACTACAGTAGATTATAGAATGTTGTATCTTTTTAAGAAAAAGAAGACATTTAGCGCACATCTCATTATTCCACTCATTTATACCATTAAAACCTTATTGTTCATGTAAATAATTCCATGTTTTGAATAATTCAAATTATTCCATTGCTTTCTCTCTTTTTTTGATAAATGCTTTCTTTTCAAACCTGGTATGGAAATGGAATAAGCAAAACAAAACGAAAGCACTATTTTGGATGGTTACAAAAAAACGGTATAATTTTTATGCTCTTCTTTGTATTCATTATTTATTGCAAAGGTTTTCTTTTTCTTTTTGAGCATTGCAAACTTTCAACCTTTTCCCCATTAACTCTCTTTTATATGAGAGTTTTATAAAAGAGAAAAACCAAAACATTTTGTTTGATTGCTGGAGTATGCCTTAACTCAAATGGGCTGAAAATGACTAACCTTTAATACAATTTAGCACATACAAAAAATTTTATTTGATGTATCGATCAGTACCATAATTGTGAAAAAGATACAGAATAACAGAGTTGGAAAGGACCTTGGAGGTCTTCTAGTCCAACCCCCTGATTAGGCAGGAAACCATATACCATTTCAGACAAATAGTTGTCCAATCTCTTCTTAAAAACTTCCAGTGTTGGAGCATTTACAACTTCTTTGGGGCAAGTCGTTGCATTGATTGTTCTGAATGTCAGGAAATTTCTCCGTAGTTCTAGGTTGCTTCTCTCCTTAATTAGCAACCTAGAACTAACATTTTAAAGCTCTGTGTGCTAGCACTTTCTTTTCTTCCTCTGAAAAAGAAAGGAGGGGTGATCTAGAGGAGAATATACTGTATTTCTATCCCATACAAAACTATTAGTGAAAGAAGTACTGAAGGTTTTAGATCCATACTGAAAAGAAGCAGCCCTTGGATTATCATGACTTTAAAATAAAATAAACAGCTCTCAAATTTTAGACAGTTAAACTTTAGTGTATGTAATGTTTCTCAAACAACATATGTATAGGCAGGTGAGCATAGAATGGTGTTCCTGCATTCCATTTAATTATTCAACTGGGTTCAAAGAATCTCTGAAAAATCAGTATGGGGCTTATCTTCACCTCAACAAAAACAGATAACTCTTAAGATAGGAACACTGCTTTCATTTTAGAATAATTCATTGTCGGAATATAGTTTGCAGTTTTATGTTTTGAACTGGGGCAAAAGCTGTAATTTGAAAAATGTCATGCAAAGCTACAAGTTTGCACTCAAGTTGGCATGGAGCCTGGCCAATCTTTAAAAGATCAGTGTAGTCCAAGGAGATTTAGTTCTTTTTCCCACCCCACGATGATATGTTTTCCTTCTGGCCACAAAAATGGAGGAAAACATATCTTTTTGAAAAAAGCACTGCTTCCATACTTCCAAAATGAGTCGCTGCAGGTTGTCAATCTTTCTTAGGTTCCTCCTGCTAAAATCAGAATGTTCACTTGGGAAATTGCTTTGCATTTTCCAATGGAAAATATGACTTTTCTGTCAGATCACTGATCCAGTTTCAGTCTGCCTCAGTCTCAGTCTCAGACATCAAGATGGCGATTCCATCTGGAGGACATGTCCTCAACATACAGTTCACAGGCCATCTCAATGCTGAGACAGGGAAAGTGCGTAGATGAGGCCACAGTGTTATCCAGAACAGTCTGACTTGAAATAAAGTATGATCAGAGATAGATCCAAACCATTCTAAACAATGGCAGATCTAGTATTCAGTCTTAGATGCCACTTAGGAAGCAAGCTCTGTTTTGTCTTGTATTTTGAGCTCTGTGAAAATATAATCTGTGAAAAACAGATTTCATGCATCTTAACATTAGAATAGCAGTATACTTTGCTTATATTTTACATTTACGACAAGGCACATCAGTGAATCAGATTCATACTATTTTTTAAAATGAAATATACTATAAATCTGTGAGAAGGCTTAAGGTGAGATCACTTATATGAAGGGTATTTCGTAAAGTATGTTTTTGTGAGCTTATTTGGTATTCTGTGTGATCTTTTGTGTTGGCAGATGTTGGCTTTAGATCTTTAAAACCTACATTCAATAATATAACCAAAGCAATAAAAGATGTATCAGGTAGGGAATACTGGCCAGTCATATTCATTTCTTTACCATAATCAACTCAGAACCCATATTGACCAAACTTTAGCTGTACCCAAGACTGGTTTGCAAAGATGAGAAGTTTGGATGAAACAGAGATGCTGGTGTTTTCATGAAGACCACTAACAAAAGAGTACCACACTCAGTTGGTGATCAGATGCTTTCTATACTGGCATTTCTTTTTTCTTCTTATATCTCTGGGTTTAGAAATGTGGATGTGTTTGAAATCCATTTGATATGAGTCCTGGGTCAATATGGTGGTGAACATTTGTTTATGAGTATGCTTGTTTTATTCTTAAATGTCATAAATACTCTCTCTGTAGAAAAATGAGCAAAATGTTACAATATTGGTGCTGTGTGGACCATATACTTTATAGAACTGTTTTTTTCTCCTTGTATTTTAATAAAAGTGGAAGAAAAACAATACGTACTTTGTCTCCTTTTTAAAATTATTGTAGGAGATGTGTTTCTAAAGGCCAGATGAAAATAGTAAATATCCACGTTAGATTGTGCAAGTTTTGCAGTAGCCTGATTTGAGATGATCCAAAAGTGGTATTATAGATTCATTTAATGTAAATGAAAAAAAGGCAATATAATACCTGGCTGAAGCCCAATTCATTCAGATTTAATGATCTAGATTGGAGCCATAGTGGGTAAATTGATGTGAATGGAAGGGGGCTTTAGATGCCTCTTTATCAAGGGCTAGAGGAAGAAGGAGGAGGCAGCAGTTGAGTGACCTCTCTAACAATAATATATATTTGGCTTCTCAATCTTTCCTTAGTTTAATAGTCACCAACACTATTGTTTCCATCTATATTGCCTTTGGGTTTGATCCCTAAGGCAGCACGAATGACCCCAAGGTCTGTGAGATCGTAATGGCAACAACTATCTGAACTGACATTCTGTGTGATGCCATAGCATAAAATGTTGTTATTAAATAGGAAGTTCAGTATCAGATGCTTGGGCTTACCATGATACATACTGACACCAAGCCCATTAAATTTTCAGTATCACTCATTTCACTGAGGGAGATTTAAGCACATGTTTAATTCTCCAATTGCAACCAATAAAGCATAAAATATTTTAAATTGGTCGAACCATTATGTCTGCCATAAGTGACTTTAAAAAAAACCCCATGCAGTTTAATCTAATGGCTTAGATGTAATACAGCTATGCTGCCCTTTGAGTATACTATTCAACATCCTTTTTTGTCCCTGAAATGAAAGAGGTACCAGATTTCTTAATTCAGTTAGATGCACTTAACAGTGCAAACTATACAAAAATAAATCCCAGTGAACTTCCTTACCTTGCCACATACAAAGAAAATTAAAGGAAGCTTAATATTGAGTATCAACATTCATTGTTACTAGAGAGGAAGGGTCATGCAAATGAATAAGGAGCAAATAAGAGGATATACGTGCTGCCAACATACATTAGAAGTTCATTAAAAAAAATTCTGTCAGCTAAATACTTTTGAGAAAGCAGGTAGTGATCCTGTTGGCTACTGGCTTATTCAGTTAATTTAAGTATGGATCAAATTGATCTTAATATTTCATTCATTGATAAATTAATAATGGAGTAATAGATGAATAAGCCTCACCTCTTACTTTCTTAATTAAAAAAATCTAATAGAAGGGGATGGTTAATATATTTTCTCTGGATCCTTCAAAAGATTCATTTAATTGCTGGTAGGATTAATAATTTTGCTGCTTGAATTGGAGGAAGAAATGGAATAGCCTTCCCAATTCTACTTGTACATTATATATTAAAATTATATTCCACTGACTCCTGACAAACTTGGCTGTTTGTTCCAAGTGGTTACAGAACCACATAGAACAGATAAAAATTCCACTGCACAGAACTCACAATGTATAAAAATAGCATCCAAATATCAATATTGATGACAATAAATAAGGGTGTAATATAATAATAAAAAAGCAGAACAGCCACAATGAACAGTCTTTCTTCAGCCACCACCCAGAAGAGTTCAGTTTTTACCACATGCTCGGAGGCTATCCATGTGGAGGGAGAGATTGCTCCAGAAATAGACAATACAATGGAAAAACATCAAGTATGGTTTCAGTCCCCCTCATTTCACAGAACTGGAACACTAATAGCAGCTTCTCCTGGGAGGATCTCCTTAGACAGCTTGCCCCAAAATGGAATGGGCCATAGAGATGATATTCTCCAACACCCCAGAAGGAACAGGATTATGTGATTCAACAGAGATTGTTGATATATCCAGCTTCATGATGCATCCAGCTACATCAGAATGCTTGTAGTACTTAGAAAAACAGACAAAAAGTTACCAGTCTCCACCATCTTTATCATTCACTTGGGGAACTTTTTTCAAAGTCCCCACAGAAAGATGTAGGTTAGGCCAAGAGACAGTGACTGACCCAAAGTTGTACCATGATCAGGAGATAAATTGAATCTGAATTTTCTTGAATTAAATCCAACAACCTGGGATTGTTGCAAACTCATGTTGCAAACACTATCAAATGATTCCCTAGACTTGGAAGAACCTATTACTAGTAGCAATAAGCATGAAAATGTTCTGAATAGTATATCAGAATGCCAATGTGTTCAATAAAAACTCATGGAGCACTCTTCCCATACATGATATCTTCCCATACTTATTCCTCCAACTGAATGTTATTTTTTTAGATTCCTTTAGTAAAAAACATAAACTGGCAAATAAGCTTGCTGCAAAGCAAACTGAATAATTAGTATTAAGCCTCATATTATTTTCAATTGTATTATCATTTATTATTATACACAAAAAACAACAGTGTACATGGTAAACGAGATAACTATGCTGGGTTTCATATCACAAATCACTAGTCAAACACATCCCAAGTGTTTAGGACTGCGTGATGTATCGGTGGATTATACGAGCAGATCCCAGTAAGGTGGCCTTCTGCAGCTGACCAATGATGATTTTGTCAGTGCCAATTGTTTTCAAGTGCTTGCCTAGGTCTTTAGGCACAGCACCCAGTGTACCACTGGAGTACCACTGAAACCACCTGCACTGGTTTATGCCAGAGTCTTTGCAGTTCGATTCTCAAGTCCTGATATCAGGTGATTTTTTCAAGTTGTTTCTTGTTGATTCTGCTGTCACCAGGTATGGCAATGTCAATGATCCATACTTTTTTCTTCTCCACAATGGGTGTTCCAAAACTTCATCAGTCTGTTTTCGGAAGTCCCACAGTAGTTTTGTATGCTCATTTTTGACACTTTTTCAGGCTTATGATCCCACCAGTTCTTTGCTACAGGCAGATGGTAGTTGTGACACAAGTTCCAATGGACCATCTGAGCGACTGTGTTGTGACGTTGTCTGTAGTCAGTCTGACCAATTGTCTTGCAACAGCTCAATATGTGATCGATGGTTTCATCCGCTTCTTTTCAGAGTCTGCATTTGGGGTCATCAGCAGATTTTTCTATTCTGGCTTTGATTACATTCGTTCTAATGGCTTGTTCTTGGGCTGCAAGAATCAGGCCTTTTGTCTCTTTCTTCAGTGTTCCGTTGGTCAGCCATAACCAGGTCTTTTCCTTATCTACTTTTCCTTGGATTTTTTCAAGGAACTGTTCATGCAGTGCTTTGTTACACCAGCTGTCAGCCCGAAATTTGCATTGCTGTTTTCCTATATTGATCCTTCATTTACTGCACTTTGAGCAGCTTCCTATTGTTGACCTCCATCAAAGCTGGTTCAACACTATCTTTCACATAATCTGCCAGAGCATGCTTCTCTTCTTCGACTGTCTGCTTCACTTGCAAAAGTCCTCTGCCACCTGCTTTTCTGGGCAAATATAGCCTGTCAACGTCACTACACAGGTGCAGCGCATAGTGTATGGTCATCAGTTTTCTTGTTTTCCTATCCAGGCTGTCCAGCTCTGCCTGTGTCCAGTTTATGATCCCATCAGTATATCTGATGATGGGTATGGCCCAGGTATTTATAGCCTTTATGGTGTTACCGCCATTCAGTTTACTTTTTAGAAGTTTTCTAACCCTTTGTGTTGGTGGCACTTGATGGTTGTCCATTGGGCATTTTAATTCCATCACTTTCTACAATTTTTCCTTTCTTCAGTGCCACTGTGGCACATTTGTCCAGGCCGAACTCTGTGCTGATGTCAGTGCTGAAAATTTGAACTGTATTGGTCAGTGACTGGATCTCAATTTCTGATTTTCCGTATAACTTCAGATCATCCATGTACAGCAGGTAAGAGATTTTCTGTGAATTTTTAGCAGTTTGATAACCCAAGTTAGTTTTCTATAAAATTGTTGACAGCGGGGTCATGGTGATGATGAACAGCAGAGGTGACAAAGAATCACTCTGGAAAATCTTTCTTTTGATGTTAACCAGTCCATAGCTTTCACTTCCAATAAACAGTTCTGTTTTCCAGTGCTTCATTGCATTCGCAGTGAAAGTACCAATGCACTTGCATATTCCGATGACATCCCGGCACTTGATGATCCAGCTGTGCGGTAGTGAATCAAATGCTTTCTTGTAGTCAATCCAAGATGTGTGCAGATTTGTTTTTTGGCTTTTGCAGTTCTCTAGAATCATTTTGTTGATCAGGAGCTGATCTTTTGTGTCTCTGCTTCCTCGTTTGTTTCCCTTCTGCTCTACTGGTAAGATGTTATTTGCTTCTATTATTATTATTATTATTATTATTATTATTATTATTATTATTATTATTATTATTCCATTTTTATAATTTATATAATGCTTCCATAGAACACTTTGAGGGAACCTGAAATTATAAGTTTGATAGTAAAGTCAGATTTCCCAGATGTTTTATTTCTATTGTCATAAGAATTGGAATTGAATTATGTTATCATTCTGATCCTCTCCTGGGATACCATAATAAAATGGGCTTATAGAATAAAATAACAGTATAGATAACTTAGTTTGACGATCCTTGGAAACAAGAAAAAGAATAGGTAGCCAACAAGTTCCAGTTCCCCAGACCATAAAAGAAATCTTATCTCTTTTATTAGTGGTTTAGAAAACTTTGATGGCATCAATTATGTATGATAAATACTTTGTAAAATGCTTTGTTGGTAACAAGTTTCACTAATGCTTAAAACGTGATTGGATGAAGGTAAGGAATGGGTGTATAAGAGATAATGAAAACAGATAGTGACAGAGAGAAAATGAAGGATGAAAAACATTCTCTTGCAATATTCTTCCATTTAGTTTGTAGAACTTGCCCAAAGTCTTAAAACAACTCACCTCCACTGACTGAGAGCCAAGCTGTTCCCTCAGAAACAGAGACCAATGGGCAAGGAAAAAAGCTATCTATGGTAAGGAAAAGGACAATGTAACCTTCCTCAGCTGAGGCTGGTTCTAGATTTGCCTGTAAATGGGGGAGTGGGGAACCAAAGGACATAAAATTATTCTGCCAAGATGGCTTATCTTTTAAATTGGACTCTATAAATTGGTCTGATGGTTTGATTGAAACTTCAAGGAGCCTAGGGTTGTTTCAGAGATCTGTCTAAACTCAGGTGTGAATCAATCTACAACCTATTCTGTTAGTTCATCCTACATTTGCCTTCAGTTGTTTGCTATGGTTGACTACACTGCGCATCTACAGAACAGATAACTGGTCCATTAATATTAGTTTTAGAAGTTGGATGCGTAAATAGTTTGATTAAAGCCTTTCAACTCTACCTCATGAATATAGGATTCCACAGGATATCAAACTATGTCAGCATGGAAGAAGGTAGCATCATAGTTGCTTCTTTGAGCACTAGGCTCTTATTTAAATGAAGACTTTCTAAAGTATGAGGCTTCAGGTTTATAAACCCCATCACAATTTAGTGTCCCATCAGTTTATCATGCACAGTTTCATATTCATAGTGTTCTCTTGAACACAGAGTGAACAAATGAAATCATATCTTTTGGCTTCTTTTTACTCTTGACTTAAATTTTACTGTCTCAAATACTATATTTTTGAATATGGGGAGGGGGCTGATGTGCTATGGTCCATGGGGTTGTGAAGTGTCAGATACAACAACAACATACTATATTTTGATTCACAAAAGTGAATCTTTTGAATCTTTTCAGTGCAATGTAATATATTTTGCAAGTGTACCAATCTATTCACTCAGCCAATCTGTATGGCCACCGATCTTGAAAATCTGACTCAGGGAAGCTGCCATAAGGTTAAAAATCTTCAATACATATAAATAATAGCCGTATGAAATTCATAACTCTAATGAAGAATTTGTGCAGGTTATGTTCTCTTTGGTGTCTGTGGATAAATTGTATGCCACTAAAGGTTAATTTTGTAATCCCAATGTTTCTGATAAATGTTCAAATCTTTACTTCCATTTAAATCACTCTTTTTGAAGTGGCAAGAAGAAAAAGTCTTTGGTTGCTAGAAATATAAGAGGCTGTTCTCACTTCCCCTGTGGTTAAGAGATTCCATTTCTTTTCAAGACTGTGGATATAGAACAGCCTTTGCACTGCTCTATCTATTGTTAGCTGATTAGTTGAAGACTCCAGCAAACCTGCAGTTTTTATAAAACAATTTGCTTTTATTAATAAAAGCTTCCACAGCCTTTCTGACTCTATGACCCAAGGAACCGCTCCTCTTTCATTCCCCTGCAAGCCATTAAAACACAAAGCAATACTTGTGACCAATTCATTCTTTCCTTTGTTGTTGTTGTTGTTGATAAGCCAAATGTTACCAGGTAGTATTTCAGCATCTCTTTTAGTGTCTCCAGCTTCTATTCTTTTCCACACAACTACCAATGGATTGCAGAGTCCCCAAATCAAGTTTGCACCCTGTGGAGCAGAATGAGAAAAATGGGGCAGGTGCTCAATTCCTCAAGTTCTCTGTTCACCTGCATTGAGCTAATTCAAACACCAACATTTATTCACAATATGTATAAACTGTCCCAACCCCAGTGGTCTCTTGGCAGTATACAATAAATACATACAAAACATAGGTAATCCTCCTAACAATTACAAATACAATACAAACTTCCTTCACAAGACAAAACTCAGAAGTTAGGTGCCCCACAGTTGGTTAACCAGGCCAAAGGCTCACTGGAATAGAATTACATTGAGTTATGTCCAAAACATCAGCAAGATAGTGGGCATACAGTTCTGGGAGAAGATACTCTGTAAATCTCAGCCATATCTAGGTACTACAATAGGATGAGGAGTTACAATAGGCCCTCTGTGGTTGACTGGTCTAGCTTTTCTGCCTGATCTGGCTTCGATGAAGTATTCTCTGATATATCCTAATGCTGTACTTTTTAGAGTTGTCTGGATAATAGCCAGCATTTTGAACTGTGTCTAGAAGCCAATGCATTGGTTTTAATAGATGTATAATTTACTGGTAGATTATTCCACCAAAATATTGGCTGCCATATTTATCCCAGCTGCAGCTTCCAGGTTGTCTCTGAAGGTAGCTTTACATAGAACAGATTCCAGAGGTTCAGTTGGTAAGATTAACTGACCCATATCCTTATTTTGAGTTTTTGAATGGATATGCAGTACCAAGTAAGATAGAGTCCAGCAATGGACTTTTTAAATATAGTACTGTGTATATATATATATATTTAATAGCGACAGCCAGCTAGAATTTCTCAATTTTTTAAAACATTAGAACTTGGCATTCTGGGCAAAGCAAATGTCAGATACCTAGATTATGTTTCTCCGAAAGATTTGTGCCTCACCTATTCAGTGGCCACTTCATAAGTTGGTGCTAAATTGCTTAACTACTCCTCCCACAGTCCCTACTTCATTAAGGCTGCTGGGCTTTATGATATCCATAGTAGAGAAAATGAAAGACTCACTTGCCTTCTGGGCTATAAAAGCAGCTGGCTGGCCCCTCAAGGGTAGAATTTTAAGTGTTTTAATCAATTTCGTGTTTTATCTTGCAGCAGAAGCAAATGGGCTGCTTCAGTGATTTAAATGCTTCTGTCTCTGGGACAACCTAATTCAATTGAACTCTTTAAGTTTTCCTTTGTTGGTGTGCTTTGTTCCAGGCCAGGTAAGTAGATAAGACAAGCCATTACTAAAATCATTATGGGCTGGATCATTACCCAGAATACCATCTGCTGTTATTTTATCAAGCCTCCTCTTATTAAGATGTCATTAAATTGCCTCAGATGCTCACTTATGGTTGATGAGATAAATCAGTCCACTTGACAGATATGTAGAAAAGCAGGTACCCCTTTTTAAATTGTCTCAGCTACAATTGGGTGTCACTCACCATCTATTTAGTCAACAATAAGCCTTTAATTAAATATAATCACCAGAAATGAGCTCTATTGGAATAGCCTTGTTACCGTCTAAAATAGATTGTGTTACCAATGGCTGGAGAAGATGGGAGGAAAAGGACAATGAGAAAGAGGCCATGACAGCTGGTGAGAGTTGATATGTGTCTGACCGATATAAATAATGAATGGCTATGTTGCCTGGAGTCATCAGTGCCATCAGGAAGGGGAAAGACTCTTCTCATCATCATCATCAAGTTTTTTACTCTGTTCCCATTCTAAATTGGTACTCCTACTTGTGGGCATTGTATGAGGAGAGCTGTGTAAGTTTATGGTTCTCCCAAATTAGGAGAAGTCATATAGTATTTTTTCAGACTAACACATTTGATTAAAATCATAAACTTTCATGAGCTACAGTTCACTTCATCAGACAATATCCATTGTTTGCTACTTGTTAGTCTGAAAAAGAGGATTGTAGAGATCCTCCAGCAGAAAATCTGTCACCAGTGGACACTGTCTCAATTATCTTTTTGATGTTCTTGTTCTCCTGGGTCTTTTTATTCTTTATCGATAATTTTCCTTGTTGCAGTAGCAGCTTCTCTGTCTATTGAGATGGCTTGTGTCAAAATAGTCAAGTCAGCAGGCACCACGGTAGGTTCAAAGTCCTGCCTCATGGAAGATTATACATTTAAACTGCTGAAATCTATTGTGATTAAATAAATAAATAATAAATAAATAAATAAATAAATAAATATCAAATGGACACCAACTTTTTAGCAATTACATAGACAGAACTTCTCTAGAATGATCTGTCCCAACTTGGCCCTTCAGGTTTTCACTGGCATATTCACCCCTTGTAATCAAGTCCATATGTCTTGCTGGTGATTATCTTCTTTTTCTATTCACTTTACCTATCATTATAGTCTTCTCTAGAGAGTTAGGTCTTGGTATACTGCATGTATCTAAAGTACAGTATAATAATTTGAGCTTGGTCATTTGAGCAGCATATTGTTATTGTTATGGTTCTGTTTGAAGTTTGTTACTCAAAATGAAAGCTTTACTCCTTTTCTATGTATGCCATGACATAACAACTATACAAAAGGGACAGAGCTTGAGGAATAATGTTAGGACATTACTTTCATCATTTTGATGAACATGACAAATTCCTATTACTGCTGTATAGTTCTGTTTGTATGTTTGTTTGATTGGATTCTTCTTTGGGATTAGTTTTAATATAAACCAGGCTACATATTTTAAAACTACATTATTAGTTTTAATAAATTAGCCTACATAAAGGGAATCAATGAAGAAAATTTATTATGATATAAACTTCAAAATTATGTTGGATGTAATTGGACAACAAGCCCTGTAATCCTAGTTAACACGACCTAGGCTACCTCAAAAATACCAGCGTAGGCAAGACTGATTTAAGGCATAATTATATTTTTTACTTTTCATAGTTCCATAACCCCCTTTATTGTTTTCCCTGTAACACTTAATCGTCTCAAAAGTTCCAGTATCTACAATTCTTCCTTAGTCAAAAAACCATGAAATAGTAACTTAAATCTCACAATCTTAGTGCTTGTTCTAAAGAGACATCTAGGCATAATTTAAATATATTATTATCATTTACAATGTTGAAATAGCATAAATTGGTAAAACTATTTCTGTGTATAAAAATGAAAGATTTCCTTCCTTCATTTTTATTATTCTGCTATTTTCTTTCTTTGAAGTCTCTTTCATAATTTTTGTACAATTTGTCTCAGTAATGGAAAAAGGAAATGTATCCATTATAAATATACTTATATATTGCTACATCTTTTTCCATTCAAACCTCACTATCCAAATTTCTCAAAAATTGGACACAGATGACTACAGTTCTACTCCCCACCCCACCCCACCCCATGGCTTCTGGGGAAGGTTTATTTGCCAAATTGTCTGGTGGTGATCACATAATTAAAACTGCTTAAAGAACATTAGAAAACATCACTCTAGTATTATGTTAAATAATCAAAATCAAAGTACTTTTGGAACATATTTGAAGAAATGCTGTTTTGATCTTTGCACATGTTCACTTGTGTCATAAAAATATTGATTGTAGCCTGGTCTAAATTATCATATCCCAGAGATCGATAATTTAACCAATGTTTGCATCTATATAATCACTATTTCTCAGCTGATTTGTTTTCATATTAACTTTCATTGAAAGCAAACATTCCCAAATCAGCAGCCTGGACAGACAGACAGATAGATATACATAGATCAGACTTCTCATTTATGATCACTTATGACTGGGCTTTATTGCAGACTTTTGCAGCAGCCCAGGCCTCTGAGGATCCCTGACCAGAAAATAGGGTTGCACTTAGGGAGGCAGAACATAATACCAAAGAAAGACCCTAGTGCTTAATTCCCTGAGAGTGACCCACTGTCAGCCCTTCCAGGTAAACCAGCAAAAATAGGACTACAGGAACTAATTATACTATATGTAATGCAACATAAACAGAATCTTGCAAATCTGAAGGCACAAACTTCCCACAGCCACTTTTGATTGCTTGATTAAGTGGATGCTTCCTAAGTTTCTTTCTCTGAGCCACTCTGAAATCCTTCCCCCCAACCCATGTGGTTGGTCCCCCAAGATCACTACACCATCACAGCAAATCGCACAACAGACTTGTTGGAAGAGAGAGTAGTTACACCACCAGGGCACTTCTGCTCCTGCTTTCAGCACTTCCAGCAGAATAGGCAAATGCTATCTCCTCAATGACAATGATGTTATCTTTCTTTTATTTCGTTTACTGTAGATATTTGCATTTCCTTAAGAGAGAGGAGGAGAGCTGATTGGGCCACTGGTAGCCTAACTTGCACCATTGGGAGAAAGGCTTTGCCATCTCCAGTTTGAGAATCTGAATGATAGTGTAGCACTTCCCAATTCCACTACTTCTGAATCCTTGAAGAAGGGAGAATCATTGCCTGCAGGGAGAAGAGCACTGGAATTAATGGTATCTTTCAGGAGATCTCTCATGAGTATGGATCCTTTATTGTCAGTTGTATATATCCATAGCAAATTGAAAGAATGTTTATTTCAGCGCGGCTAAGAAAAATGTGCCGTACAAGAATATGCTATCCGTTAATTGACATGTTACAGCATGTGATAGACAAAAGACATGGTCTCTAGGATGATTTAATCTCACAGTTTCAAACTTAAATCTTTTGTCTTTCCTGTTTATTACAGCATAAACTTATTAACAGTTCTCCAAATAACATGGTCAATAAAAAGGAGAGCAAGCCCAAGGGCTTTCTTCTTTTCTTTCTTTTCTTTTTTGGCACCTCAAAACGCAAATCTCTCACAAAGCAAAAACAAACAGACAAACTTAGAGCTGCCAATGAGCAGTAGCATCAGAAAGTTATTTGCAGATGTCTGGAAGCAAGTTTCTCTTACTGGCCATTTAAATATGGGAACAAACAAGTAACAGCTTATATCTTTGAAAACTTTCACATGTCTTCAAAAGCAAGAAGAAACATGACAAGCAGGAAGAAACTGTAGTGATTGAAGGTCCCTTAATTACAATGAAGAGTTTTGTGGGGACTCTCCAATCTATGGGATAGATGCTAAGCTTTATATTACATTTTGATACATTCAGATTGTTGGGGTTTGCAAATTGCCTTAACTGGGTAGTAACATGGAGTCAAAGAAAGAAAGGATTTAGAACTTAGACTTAGACTTAAACTAACTTTATTATCACTTTAAATGTACACTAATTGGCATACATTAAAATGAAATTTTATTGCATACAGCTTTCAAAATAAATAAATAACCAAGACAGTCTGGTTCAAATGTATACATGCACATGGTGAGAAAAATGAATCTTGTGAGTTTACCAGAGTATACCAGGCATAGGGAACAAAGCTGTTACAGAATCTGGTAGTCCTATTAGAAGGACTTTGAAACTTCCTCCCAGGGTGGAGCAACAGAAACAGACCGCAAAATGGGTGTTAACAATGCTTTGAGCTGTAAGCACATAGCGCTTATAAGCAGTATCCTGAATAACAGGAAGCAATCTTCCTATAATCTCAGCTGTCCTTACTACTCTCTGTAGGGACCTTCTATCTGAGGCACTGCTACCACCAAACCAAACAGTGATGCAGTTTGTTCAAAATGCTCTCAATTGTGCCTCTGTAAAAAGTGGCCAGAACAGAAGGAGAAAGATGTGCTCTCATATGATGCAAGAAATGCAAGTACTGGTTTGCATGCCTCACTAAGGACGATGTGTGGAGAGACCAGTTACAAATTGTTAGTTATCTGCACCCCTCGATATTTCTGTGTTATGTTCCTTGTCTAATTAGATAAATATTCTTATTAGATTTCTTATCTAATCTTCATTCTTCTAATGAGTCCTTATTTTATTTTCCCTAGCTTTTTGTTCAAGTCTTCCTTTTCCAGTTCTATCCATTAACATCTTACCCCTGATGAATCTACTTTTTACTCCTTCATTTCCCCAGAATGCTTTCTAAACAGCCCATCCCCTCAAGCTTTATTGATTTCTCCCCCTTCAATTGCTAAAACTGCTTGTGGAGAGCTATTCAGGGCTAGGGTCACTTTTGTAAATTAAGATGATGCTAGGCCAGAGTTTTGTTTTTATAGCAGGCCATAACCAGGGGTGGGATTCTACCAGTTCACACTTATTTGCTAGAACTGGTTGTTAACATTCTAAGCAGTTCGGAGAACTGGTTGTTAGAATAAATTATTGGCCTAATCCTGTAAGGAAGGCAGGAAGGAAACATTCTGGTGTTGCTTACAGAAACTGCCTCTCCATTAACCCTTATTATATTCTTGGCAGGACTAGACTTCCTGTCTCAGGAATGTCTCTGGAGATTTCCCCCTCTCCTTTGCTGGTACTTTGCTTGTGTGGAGTGACCATTCAAAGTTACAATGGCACTGAAAAAAGTGACTTATGACCATATTTTCACACTTACGATTGTTACAGCATCCCCACAGTCATAAGAGGCCAGGTGAAGAGATGCATGCCTCAATGTGAGTGATATTGAGTTGGCCACACCCAGCCAATAACATGACCACCAAGCCATATCCACCCAGTCACATGACCACCAAGCCACACCCACCACCTAAGCCACATTCACAGAACCGGTTGTTAAACATTTGAATCCCACCCCTGGCCATAACCCTAACCCTAACCCTAACCCCACCCCCCCCCCCCCGTTTAAAAAAAGTAAAAAAAACTAAAATTTTGTCTGGAACAAGCAAAGAGACAGTTACAAGGAAAGAAGAAGTAGGCTATTTAAGGGAAGTACATCACAGTATATTCCCTCCATGTGGGCACAATAGGTGAACAAAACTTGTTATAACAGGTACTGATGCATTGAAAAAGTAACAGGGTAAGCTGGGGAGCCTGGTTAAGACAGATGGTGTGCAGAGATTCCCATGGGCATCAAAGGCAGAGACATCTTAGTTCTGTGACTATCAGGTTACACAGTGTTTGCTTCAAAATATTGCTTCCCTATGTAAATAAGGGCATTTTCACTTGGATGTATGGGGAATGTCAGCAGTGATTCTTCCTGTATCTAGGATCACAATGTGTGCTATTTCTACAAGTGTGTTTGGTAGTGATCTAAATGCTAATAGAGCTTAGCAATCTTAACTCCAAGTCTAAATACAGACCACAAAAACCCTTGTGTAACTTGAAGAGTCCTCTCTTCTTAGAACCACTGAAACTTGTTATAAGGGTTGTGGCCTGATACATGTGGGCATGCTTATGTGTACATAAGTGTTACATATGCATTTGTGTATGCTTTTTTGAAGTAAAATTCCCTATACACTATTCAGAAAGCTTCATCTGAAAAAGGTCACTCATCTTTGTCAAGGTTTCAGATCAATATTTCTGCAAGTGAAAAGCAGGTATAGCACCCACACAGAAGTGGTTCTGAGCAGTTCTGGAGAACCGATAGCGGATTTTTTATATATATATATAAATTTGTATTGGTTTTTAAGACAAACATAGATAGACAAAACATAAAAACATCAAGCCATCTTCCATATATATACATACAGTGTGTCAGTTGGTGTACAAATTGTTTTGTGCTTCCATTTCGTAGTCTTCAATTACAATTACATTGTATATATTTTCATATTTTCAATCAAATATTAAGAACATTAATATCATTGTTAATCAATCATTTGACTATACTTTTATTCATTCATGTTTTACGAAACAATCCATATTTTACTTAATTTGTTTTATGACAGTTCATATTATCATCTCAAATCTATCCTACAATCATTTTGTAGATATAATAAGAAAAGAATACATCTTTATATATTTATTATTTTCTAAGAATCTACACATTTCATTACCATGTTTTATTGTCTAACCATTGATAGAATAGATCCCAAATTTTATAAAATTGTTTATCATCTTGTTCTCTGATTTCAAATGTCAATCTACTCATTTCAGCACATTCCAATATTTTCTTAATGATTTCCTCCTGTAATGGTATTTTCTCATTTTTCCAGTTTTTGGCAAATACAATCCTAGCCACTGTTAATACATTTACAATCAGGTATTTCAATTCTTTACTATATATTTCAGGCAAAACTCCCAATAAAAGTATCTCTGGTTTCAAATCTATATGCTTTTTTGTCATTTTTTCCAACCACGTGTGGATTTTAGTCCAATATTTTTTGGCATCCGCACAAGTCCACCACATATGGTAATATGAGCCTGGTATTGATGACATTTCCAACATTTTTTGGATTTGTTCTTGAACATTCTTGCTATTCTTGTCGGGGGAAAATGCCACCTGTAAAACATCTTATACAAATTTTCTTTATAGGCTGTTGACATTGTCATCTTATAATTTTGAGACCACAGTTTTTGCCATTTCTCTAGATCAATCCCATATCCAAAATTCTTCCCCCAAGCAATCATAGTTTCTTTAACTTGTTCTTCTTCTAGTTTAATTTCTAATAAATATCCATATAATTTTTAATCACCTTTTCATCAGTACCTGTCAAAATCTTATCTAAATCAGTCAGTTTATCATAGAAACCTTCTGTTTTAGAATCTTTGTCATAACTTGAATGTATTTGCACATATGAAAACCAATTCATCTTTATACCTTGTTCCTCTAATTTTTGCATAGATTTAAGTTCACCCTTTTCATTCAATATTTCACCATATCTAACTGTTTGTTCCTTTTTATATATTATAGGATAAGAAAATGCTTCAATAGTCGATAGCCAGACCGGAATTTTCAAATAACATTGCCTTTTAGTCTTCTCCCAATTTAACCACAGAGACTCCCGTATATAATGTCTTCTAAAATGCCCCTGTGTTTTAGTTCCTTTATACCATAGAAAAGCATGCCACCCCAACAACAGATCATGACCTTCTAATGTCAACAATCTAGTATTTCTTAATGTTATCCATTCCTTAACCCACATCAAATTTGTAGCTTGGTAATACAACTCCCAATTAGGCAAACCAAATCCTCCTCTTATTCTGGCATCTTGCAAAAGTTTTAACTTTATTCTCGCTTTCTTACCTTGTCATATATATTTCAACACAATTTTAGTTAAATCTTCAAAATAATCTTTTCCATGCCTAACTGGAATTGTTTGGAACAAATATAAAATTCTGGGTAGTATATTCATCTTGATTGTTGATATTCTCCCTATTAATGACAGTTGTAAATTTTCCTATTTCGCCAAATCTAGCGCTATCTGCTGCTTAAGTTTGATATAATTATTCTCTTTTAGTATACTACATCTTGCTGTCAAATGTATCCCCAAGTACTTGATCTTATTCGTGACCTGAATTTTCAGTACATCCGACAACTCTTCCTTTTGTCTTGATAGCATATTCTTTGTCAAGATCTTTGTTTTATCTTTATTTATTTTCAAACCAGCCACCTTTCCATATACCTCTAACTTTTCTGTCAATTTTGATGCTGTTTCTAGTGGGTCTTCTAAAATGAAAACCAGATCATCTGCAAATGCTTGCAGCTTGAATTCTTTCTTTTTAATTTTCATCCCTTTTATATCCTTTTCTTCTCTAATATTTCTGTTTAACACTTCCAAGGTTAACAAAAACAACAAAGGTGATAGTGGGCACCCTTGTCTTGTTCCTTTTCTTATATCAATAGAGTCTGTCAGTTCTCCCTCTATCATTACCTTTGCCGTTTGGTTATGATATATAGCTTCTATTGCTTGAATAAATTTTTTACCAAAGCCCATCTGTTCCAGCTGTAATAACATGAATCACCTATTCACATTATCAAATGCCTTCTGTGCAGCTAAAAATATCAAAGCCATTTGTTTTTCAGGGTGTGCCTCATAGTATTCCAAAGTGTCCAAGATTACTCTCATATTGTCTTTAATTTGTCTCTTTGGCAGAAATCCATTTTGATCAGGGTGGATAAAATTGTTTAAGCATTTTTAAAGTCTTTCTGCCAATATTGAAGCAAAAAATTTATAATCTGCATTTTGTAAGGAAATAGGTCTATAGTTCTTGATTTGTAATGGATCGACCTCCTCTTTTGGAACAAGTGTAATATAAGCTTCTGACCATGATTTGGGTATCTTCTTCTTTAACATAACTTCATTCATAACTTCTAGCAATGGAAGCTTCAACGATTCTTGTAGTGTTTTATAAAATTATGCTGGAAGTCCATCTGGGCCTGGTGCCTTTCCATTGTTTTGCTTCTTAAGTGCTTCAGTTAACTCCATCATCA